GATGCTGTATCTATCTTCAGGAGGATACTACAGAGAAAATGCTCAGAGAAAAGGCTGAGATGCGATGTATAAGCTGCATGTATATACACATATATTTATATATAATTTTTGAACTTCCAACAGATTCAAGTATTGGTTTGTAGGGGTTTGATTGGTTACAGGATTTTCATCATGAGCTGACATTGGTTAGAGAACCATTGGAAAACCTGGGAGTACTGGACAGCTGTTTCATCAGCCTAGTTTGGCACTCTTCACAGTACGCACCCACCACACCGGTTTGAACCCAGGACCTTCTGGTTACAAGGCTAGCGAGCTCGTATACCATTAGGCCACTGGGACCCGATCCAATGGCCAGGTCATGAATTCTAACTTCTGCCAATTCATGACATAGCGCGACTCTTAGTTAATGTCTTTTATGGCGAGTATTTGTCCTGAAACCCGACCAGCTGCACCCTACTGGTCGTGACTTCTCACTAGAGCCCAAGATAACTACCTACCTGAATAGAGCGAGTCGCTAGTGAGCATTTCATCGATATTCAAGTGTTGGTCTGTAGGGATTTAATTGGTTACAGGATTTTCATTTTCCAACAAATTATTAACTTTCTATTTAGACAGCTATCACTAATAGTATATAAAGTAGTTGCAACATTACCTATTCATTTTTTAGGGTTTTTATCATCATTGTCAAATCATATCAAATGATAATGTTTGTTGTGATTTCATGATTTATGTGACTTAACAGCCACCAATGAGTTGATGCTGTTTTTGAAATCAGATTCATTCCTTTGTCTTCTTAGTGGAACACAGGATTTGAAGATTTAAATTTTCAATAGCGGTGTTGTTTATTATGGTGTCCGGCCTAACATCCAACCTCCTCTCTTTTCCACGGTTTAAGAAGCCATCGGTCTAGAATAAGATCTGGAACATGTGATTAGTTGACGAGCAGCTGAGCAGCTGACATACACAGGCTATTTAGAGATCCGAATATTTGTTAATTATAGGGGAAATTTTCATTTGGTCATTTAGATAACAAAACGATTCAGCAAACGCATTCTTTTCAATAACTCTGTCATCGGGTTATGCAGACAATATGTAAAGAGACACAGTTTTTTGTTCAGCGAAGAAATTTCTTTTCAACGACTTCATTTTCAAGCTGTACAGTCGTATTTATATTACAGAAAATGGTTATGAAGTGGCACTAAATAATTGCTCGGTCAATATACATATATAAGTGATAAGAATAACGATAATTAACATGTTATAAGGGGTAGAGTTGAAGTGGATGGATTACAAAATTATTAAAGATTGTTTAATAAGTGAATTGATACCAAAAACATTCTTTTTTGAAAACTGTCAAGCGTTGTCTAAAAATTCTAAAAATTAGGAGTACGATTACGATAAGAATAAAGATGTGAAGTGAAGTGGAATGAATTCAAGTGGTAGAAAATAAAATAAAAACTAGAAAAAACATTACTATGATCAAGGTAAAGAAAGGGGTTTGACAAAGCGTTTCTGAATACATAATTCAGGTTTTTGTTCATGTATAGCTAAAGCTTCGGCTGTGAATAAGTGAAGAGAACGTAAACTTTTGGATCGATTCGATTTTGCTATGTAGATAACCTTGAAGGATGAATCACGTGTGGCTGAATGAACAGACTCTAACAGGTGAACACAAACAGACGACTTCGCAGTTCTACTTTCGCCTTTCATTAACCAAACCGGATAGTGTTCAGCTACAGGTTTTTGGAGAGTACATTTACAATATTTAAAGAGTAATTGTTGTCGACGCACTCCTTTACCTCGCTAAGCCAGAAATAAAACCTGGTAAAGAGGAAAGGTTGGGCATGGGGCTAGCAACCCCATCCTCTAAAATAAACTCTGCTACAGAAACTTCAAGCCACTAGCTTGAAGCCCTATGTTCCACTGGGGAACGTGAAGGAAAAATTATTATTATTATTATTAATTGTTGTCGACAGCATCAGTAATGTAGAGTTGCTCTGGTCTATAGACTGCACTTCAAACGCATGTGTAAGTGGTAATATACATGGGAAAACTAATGCAAAAATTAAAGTGTAGAATGACAATATAATTAAAACAATTACAGCTTTTAAATGGCTTCGAATGAGGGGAAAACGTTTAAGAGTTTTGTAACCAATTAACGATGCCCAAGGTACAGAAATTGTTCGTACGAACTTCTTTTGGACAGAGAAGCTTGTTTACTTCACATGGATTTTGCTGGTTTCAGATATAAACAGAAAACGAATTCATAATGCAAACCTGAGACCAATGGCATAACTTTAAATGCCTGATTCAGGCCAACTTCATTTTCCGTATGCACAATTTGAGCTGAAATAGAGCTACAAATAGACTATGTTTGTCCATTCTTTAGCCACGTAGGATGATGTTCAGAAATCCAGTAATGTCATACAATGATTCAATTTTATAAATTTGAACAAAGAAAGAAGAAACATTGGCGTAGAATAATCTGGATCCAATTTATTTCGTTGATTTTCATCAGCTGCGTACAACCTGAATTTTTTTATTAAAATAGAAATAAAAAGTGTGCAGTCTTAACAAACCTTTGTCCATTAGAAAGCATATTGTCAGGGCGTTATAGTTAAATAAGGCGTTGCGATTTACAGGATGTCTAAAGTGTTACGACATATATATATCTTGGTAGAGAAGTTTCTTGAAAAAAATTAATTAACAGTTGTGTTGTTAGGGTGGTAACGAAAGACAATTAGTAATAGATACGTAATTAGATAAAAGAAGATCGAAATTTTAAAATTTCGGTGCACATGAGGTCAGATGATAAGTTGATGATGTAATACAATGAGCAGAACTCAGAAGATCAAGAAAAATTATCTCTTAAGAGAGTCAAGCAAAAATATAAAGGGAGGTGATGGAGTGAATAGATAAGTTAACAAAATTAGAAAACAAAAAGTTACTAAGACGTAAGTCACCAGGGTAATTGTAGTCCAACAACGGATTCTTTTTGGACACTTAAGTCAGGCTTCAATCGTTTTTTTCACTACAGCTTCAGCAAACATGAGAAGACTTGAGATACTTTGTCTGTTAATTATTTTGAATGATTCCAGCACATCTACTCGGTGTCCTGTATCAATCAGGTGTTTGACGATTGAAGAGTTTAAACAATTCTGTCCCTTTAATTGGACAGAATCTGACGTAGGCCTTTACTCTCTCTACTTCCAATGTAACTGTTCCCGCAGATACATGTGAATTGGTATACACAATTGGAGGTAACATGTGAGGGGTACTTGTCAATCTTTGACTGCACCAGTGAAGAGGTTGTTGTGGATAGAGAGACTAATAGCGCTGAAGGATACATCGTAGACAGGGCTGCGCTTAATCTGTTACTTACCATTCTCATAATGTCGTCGCTCTTGTAGTCAAGTTTGATGAAAATTGGCTTCTTACTGTAGCTGACTGTAGCTGTATCAAGCTTCTTGAGTTCATTCTTGTCACATTTGTTAATGAAACTTTGTGGGTAACCACTTTCTTTCAAGCATTTTTCAAGAAGCATTAATCAGTTCACTGTCTAGTTTGTCTGATGAGAACCAACCAAATTAAATGGATTTAGATTATTCTGCGCCAATGTTTCTTCTTTCTTTGTTCAAATCCAGTAATGAACATTTCTAGTTTTATACTCAATGTAACTAACTGGCTTCACACGAGTAGTGAATCTTGTAGATACATTAATTCTGTCAGTATTAATTATCCTTTCAATATTATATGTATATAACAGTAGAGTCAGATGAGGAAGTTATCGAAAAGAACATTCTCCATTAAATCTCTCTTTGTCTTCTGTTAGTTCTACCGTAATCAGATACATCAGAAGTGGATTATATGTTTCAATTTTTCTGCACTTAGTAATAGACACACCTGATCTGTTTTCTAAGTCTGAATGGAAATCTATCCATGAGGCAGGTGATCTCATCGCTGGAATAAACCAGTGGTATATTGAAGTCTGGCGTTTACTGTGTTAGGTGGTTTTAGTAATTATGTTGTGAAATATTCATCATTCATGCATTTGATTTGGCGAACTACTTACTGGTGGTGGGAACTGCTAACTAGAAGAACCTCAGAAAGCGTTAGTGTATCTCAAATCAATGTCTATTTCGTACTCGGCAAGTGAAATGTTTAGTTGCCTAAAGAGAAAATAGCACAGAAAGATTAAGTTAAGAAGACTAAAATGAATAGAAATGCCATGATAAAATTTAGAGCAGGACCATACATAAATAAATTATGCGCCTAATTTTTTATTGAATTACCTAGGCGAATGCTATAAGTTCTGTCAAATTTTAGAAATTACCTCATCTTTTATATTGTCAACGGTGAAGAATATGAAGAAATCAGCCATTTCTGACCATATGTGTTTGCTTTCTGTCTGTCAGTCATGTTACATGGTAATACTGAGGTTTGAAAATAGAGCGCTAGGTAAGGAGACTAAATCAATCGATGCAGATTTACAACTGCATTGATTAAGATGGCTAGGACACGTGGCGCACCTGGCAAGTAGCTGAGTAGTATTGGTTGAAAAATGACTAGGTAGAAAAAGCGTAATAGGTCGCTGGACCAGAACATGTTATCCAACCATGACATCTTCGACTGTTGACTTGGGCCTCATGTGAAGATGTCGACTGCTTGGCAGTCGTTCTCGGGACTCTGATACTCACTGACTCAGATACATTCACTCGATGTCACTCCCCTCGGATCTATAAATTTCTCAAGACTCTCTGTATAACTATTTTTTCTCCCGTAACTTTTTGTAGATTATAGTTTCCTGGAGTTTATCGTGCTTTTTACTCCTATGTTTGATTTTATGAATTGTAACTAAATAAATCGCTTCACTCTGGTGCAAATTGTGTATAGGATTTGCTCACCATGTATGATTCATTATGTAGATGTCTAGTAAATCGCTTTACGCTTCAAAATTATCTCACCTCAAAACAAAATTTCATTTCCACGATTTCTTTTAGACTACCAATATGAAGAATTTGTGGCGCATTCTAAAATGAATCCAATTATGCAACGATCCACTTGGGTCCATATCGATTTACCAGGTCAAGGAGATGGTGAAGAAGAACTACCTGGAACGTGAGTTTTCTCTTCTAAAGCCACTGTTCTATAATCTTTTTTTAAAAATGATCAGTAAAGTGGAATTTATTATCTCTGATACCAGGGTATAATAAACACACTATAGCACTGTATTTGATTACTTTGTAGTCACTAAGCAATCGGGGTGCTGACTGGTGCTGACTTAATTCTTTAGGTCGTATTCGCAATCTAACCATCAATCTTGACAGTTCTTATTCGCAGTGCATACAAAATTATTATTACATTATTCAAAGGCAATCCATGGCAACCATTGGCACTAGGTCTCGTTCTTGTTGACACAGTGGTCAGCAAGGCATAGTTGAAACAACAAAGAAGGAATTGATATTGTCTGAGAGACACATCTCAATGACTAATGCCAATAAGCATAAAACTATAGGTGTACAGTTTCTTGCAGATTGCCTGTAACCATCCCGGAATAAATAGTTGATATTGGCTGGATATTCAATAAACAGGAAATACTGAACAAATGTCTGTAACGACAAAATATGATTATGTCGGAAAAGTGTCAGAAACCATTTGATGCTCTCCATATATAGATAATCAACTACTTATTAGCAACTTTGTGAAACTTCTGTTAGTAATTTATACTAATCTATCCCTGAAAGGTAAGCTGTCAGACACCTCCGTTTGTTGCGTATGACTTAGTAAAATGGATTTCTTTTTACCTATAGATGCATACGAATAGTTCATTTGCAATGTTTTGTGTGATTATAATATGTTTTCGAATTCACTAGTCTACTTCCGGACTCATTTAATGACAACGATTGCATATCAATTGCATAACATTCAAGTATTGGTTTGTAGGGATTTGGTTGATTGGTTACAGGATTTTATCATGAGCTGACATTGGTTAGAGAACCATTGGAAAACCTGGGAGTACTGGACAGCTGTTTCATCAGCCTAGTTCGGGACTCTTCACAGTACGCACCCACCACTCGGTTTGAACCCAGGACCTTCTGGTTACAAGGCTAGCGAGCTCGTATACCATTAGGCCACTGGGACCCGATCCAATGGCCAGGTCATGAATTCTAACTTCTGCCAATTCATGACATAGCGTGACTCTTAGTTAATGTCTTCTATGGCGAGTATTTGTCCTCACACCCGACATGCTGCACGAATTTGCCTTTTAACCACAAGGTCCTGAGTTCGAACCCCGGTGGGTGCGTACTGTGAAGAGTCCCAAACTAGGCTGACGAAACAGCTGTCCACTACTCCCAGGTTTTCCAATGGTCCTCTAACCAGTGTCAGCTCATGATGAAATCCTGTAGCCCATTGCATAACAGCTAACAGCTTGGTTTGTACATGCACCCCTTATTAAATATGTTTTTAGGTAACTGTGTGTGCGTCAGTCGTGATAGAATGCTCAATAACCACGTACATCGTCAACGGTTTGATTCCCTGAGATCGCATTCCGTAACATCACCTATTGGATTACTGGATTATCCGATAGAAATTCCAGAAGTAAGACAAGATTTAGTGTGAGGCTAGCAATTCTATCTTGTAAAACAGAACACAGCTATCGAGACTGCAAGGTATAAAGCCTGAACTTCCATCGTTCTACTAGGAAATCAAAGAATGAAAAACTGAAAAAAAAGATTTATAGGTAACATCATACTGTTTCTCTCAGGGGAAAGTTTCAATGAAACTGTCGTCTGAAAAAGTGGCATTACTTGCTATGTGTTACAAAGCATAGGTTCACTTGTTTCATTGCTTAGTAATTCTTCACAAACAAAATGTGCCATGTACTTTAAAACACTGGATGACTGTTTTCAGTCAGTTGAAGAGAGATTTCAACAGTGATCCATTATGATTCATCACTCGATTACAGCTCAGATAGTCTGAGTGTTCCCTTCAGTCAGATGGTATAAGCAGCATTGGTCAAGAGTCAGCCCATTATCATTGATATAAGAATCGAACTTGTGCACTGTGGTAGCGTATAATTTCATCATAGGTAAAATTTATTTTGAAGTAAAAATAAATAAATAAATAAATTTTACCCATAACGGAATTCATCACTGTCTCTTTCTGCGTTCTATGGCGACTGTCATGGGAAAACGTAACAGGTTGCGTTTTGTTAGCCTGCTGATTATTTTAAACGCCCTCAGATTGTTCCTAATGTGACCAACATCAAATGTATGGCATATTGTCTTACTGTTTAATGCCTGTGAACCCTTTAGTCTCAAGCATTTTGGTATGTGTATGAGAACAAACCTTTTCTCCGTTCTTCCAATGTATGCGCTTTGACACATGCATTAAAATTGGCAGATGAAGTTGGAATCAATACGAAGTGAAAGTTTGTCCACTTTTAATTATCTCAATCAGCTGTTTGTTTGATACAGACATTGGAGCTTGAAGGCTGTATATTTTTTTCTTTTAGTGCAGCGTTCAGTCTGCACCTTATTCTTCTGATAGTGGCATCCAATTTTGAGAGAAGTTGTAGAAAGACAGGTGTTTTCTTCACCATACTACAATCCGCTATCGCCAAGTTACTCTTTCCACGTTTGTCGTTACCTAATCGCTTCACCACAATGGATAACTTCTCTTTGACCTCTTCCTGTGAGAAAAGTTTTCTTATACAACAAAACAATGTTCTCATCAATCTGGTTATGTGAGTAGTACTGTGCCTGTGTGTAGAATGGCTGATCCTAAAACGCTGAGCAACTTCGAAAAATACCTCAGCAATTGCAGCACATTCAGTAATACATAATCACACAACAGAGTAGAATAAAGCTAAGGATCCGAAGAGTAATATACTCAGGTGGAGGGAGAAGATAATCACAGAAGCCTTCTTGATAGAATTCACACTAACTTGCGCAAGATGGAATGACACCGTATCACCACCAGAGATATGGGACATATTATTACTAAAAGATAAGAAATGATGGAACTAAATCAACGAAATCTGAAGCTTATATGATCACTTTGATATGATTATAAGCAACGAATTGTTTCTGAAAATATATAAAATATTACTGACTGCTTTTATCGAACAGAATTATTCTGTTATAAAATTTACATAGTGTAATCAATCATATGGATTTACCACTAGCTCAATAAAAGCAATCAAAACACTTTTAGCCATTTTATAATATCAACTGATGGATGTTAATGTAGAGATTAATAACTGAAGAAATCAAATCTACCGCTAATGAATTAATGATATGCTATTCTAATTGGTGGATGATGACTAGCAGTGAAATTCAGGAAAACGCGCATCTCGTCCTATTTGGGACTCGTCAGCCGCTGGATGTACCTGAATTCCTCAGTCATTGAATGATGACGTTTCCACCGAGGCTCGAACCCAGTGGCCATAGTTTCAAACGCCAAAGCGTTATCCACAAGACCACTTGGGCCACGAGAGCCACCTCTTGTGCAACGGGTCATATATTAATTATTGAATTGAATTTTTTGATTTTCCCGTCGATTGATTGCACCGAAGTGCTCGATCTCAGGTTGACATGTCTGTTGGCTTCTTGTGCAGATGCTTCGACGATGTATGGGCATTTAATTAGAATTTAACAAGGGGATGGTGACTAGCAGTGGAATCCAGGATGAGCATTTCGTCCTATTTGGGACTCGTCAGCCGGATGTACCTGTACCACAAATTAAATTCTAATTAAATGCCCAGACATTGTCGAAGCATCTGTACAAGAAGCCGACATGTCAACCTGAGACCGTGCACTTTGGTGCAATCAGTCGACGGGAAAGTCTAAAATTCAATTAAATCTGGTATTCTATCACTTGAAGTGCAAAACCCTACTGATAATAAGTACATCATGGATATTAATCACGCTTAGGCTTTTGTTCTTTTGCACATAGAAATTAACGCTCACTGTAACAATATGTTTGTAAAATAAACTCACATCATCCATACACATTGTAGCTTGTTAACAAATTTTATTTCTTTCCATAACCTGAATAGGTAGAGAATGGCACTGAAATAAAAATGCATCCTTTGTATCTCAAAGAATTGCATAAGCACACACCTACACAATCGCACACACTAGTTTTGCAGGTCAAAAACATTCAGAAGAAGTTTAAGGTGTTTATCCCTCAGTGTTAAGTAGTATTTCCCTTCTTTGTGTTACGATGTATACATGTGATATTGTTATGGAAAAGAAAAGGAATTCAGCATTTTGAATTATCTGTAAAAAGAGAACAATACATTAGAGTGAACTGTGAATAAAATATTAAAGAAATAGTGATAATTCAAGTGTTGGTTTGTTGGGATTTGGTTCATTGGTTACAGGATTTCATCATGAGCTGACATTGATTAGAGAACCGTTGGAAAACCTGGGAGTACTGGACAGCTGTTTCATCAACCTAGTTCGGGACTCTTCAGCAGTACGCACCCACAGCAACTGGGGTCGAACCCAGGACCTTTTGGTTACAAGGCTGGCTAGCTCGTATACCACTAAGCCAATAGGACCCGATCCAATGGCCAGTGCAGGAATCCTAACTTCTTCCAATTCACGACATAGCGCAACCCCTAGCCAATGTCTTCTATGGCGAGTATTTGTCCTCACACCTGACCTGGTGCACCCTACTGGTCACGACTTCTCACTAGAGCCCCAGATAACTACCTACCTGAAGAGGGCAAGTCGCTAGTGAGCATCTCATTGATATTCAAGTGTTGGGTTTTAGGGATTTGGTTGATTGGTTACAGTATTTCATCATGAGCTGACATTGGTTAAATAACCATTGTGATAATCTTGTCATGTTTTAAATTAGTCATCTGGATGAACCTGAAATCCCCAGTGGGTAATTCTATTCCCACTAGGACTTTAACCTCTCACTCACTGTTTGAAACGCTTAGTCATCTCACTAGGAAGACTATCACTGACTAACGATGGAGCTACATTCATCTGAACCCTGGATTCCACTGTTAATTATCGCTAAACAAAGAAACAATGAATATATATATATATATATCATCTTCAGCAATCGTTGAAGCATCTGTATCAGAAGCTGAAATGTCA